TTATACTCTTAAGTTAAATCTAACTATTATACTTAATTTAGATTTATAAGAATTTTCCCTATAATTATATAATATTAAAGAAATAGCTAATTAACTACTTACTAACTACAATATATTATTTATTAATAAGTACTAGGCTTCTAACTTTATTAAGTAATAATTAAATCTTAAAATATATTTTTTTTATAAATATAACTATTAAAAAGCTAAATATAAAAATCCAATAATTATTTATATTTAATTTAGATTTATAAAGAATATAATTATAAAATATAATATTAATCTAGCTAATATTTATAACTTTAATAAAACTAGCTTTATAATAAGTATAATTATAAGTAGAATAATTATTATAAATATAAATAGGTATAAAAATTTAAAATTAATTTAATTTAGAAACTAAAAATAAATTATAATTATTTAGGTAATTAATATAAAAAACTAGGCAATCTAGCTATTTATTATAATTACAGGCTAATATTATCTTACTAGCTAATATTAAAAAAGCAACTTTTTAAGTAATTAAACTATTATAATAACTTAAAATAACTAAATTAATAATAAAATAAATTTTAAGTAGCTTAAGTATTTTAATTAGTATATAAAGAATTAATTAACTAATTGCTATTATCTTTTAATTTTTAATAAATATAAAAATTACTACTCTATTAACTTTAAAAAATATTATAAAAAAAATAATATTATTATACTTTATATACTATCTTATTTATCTTATTTACTCTAGCCTCTTAATATTAAATACTTTAAGCTACTTAAAATAGCCTATAATTAAGAAATTAAGTAATTAATTAGATACTCTATAACCTATATTATAAAGACTAAATTCTTCCCAGCCTTCTATACTACTTATATAGCTACTATAATAAGAAGTAATATTAAGGGAGGTTTTTAAGAGGCTAGACTTATTCCCTTAAACTTAGAAAATGTTATATTAAAGCTTAATATATAGCTATAAACTCCAATACTAGCTATAGAAGAAATTAGCCTTTTTAACTCTTAAATCTTAAAAATCCTAAAAATAATACTTAAGGCTAGTTTACAGTCTAAATATTTTAAAAGATAAGTAAGAAGGTATTAAAGTAGCTCTTTAATATCTATTCTTAAAATACTTAAGTTATTTTCTAAAGGAATAAAGATAATAATATATTAAATAATATTATTAAAATCTAAGATTTAAATTCTTTAATAGGCAAATAAGACTCTTAGTAAGCAGTATAGAGTAAAAAGAACCCGCCTATAGAATAAAAAGAAGATAACTATAAAAAAGAGAAGGGAAGTAATTAATTAAATAGATATAAATATATAAATATAAGCTAAATTGTTAAAAAGTAGTTGTTAAAAAGAGTTAATATAATTAAAGGAAAGGTATTATAGAACTTATAAAAAAACTAGTTATAATATAAAAACCTATTAGGTTATTATTAAGATATTTAAGGAAGAGTATAGCAATTAATTTTAATTAATTAAATACTTTATTATGTTTTTATTTAAGTTCTTATATTAAAGATTAGAAAAAGTATAATATATACTTAAATGTAATATATACTTATTAAGTATGTTATAGTAATTATAATTATAAGTAATTAGAGGTAATTATAGAGTAATTATTATAATTGTAATTACTGGTATTTAGAGGTAATTATAAAGTAATTATAAATAGCTAAATTATATTCTATTTTAGAAGATTAAGAAAGGTAGAGCTATATCCAGGGCTTAATATAAGTTGCAGCTAGGCTGTAATAAAAATAGTCTTTAAAGAAACTAAACTTATTTCTCTTAATTTAGAAAGTATAATCTTAAAGCTTAATATATAGCTATAGACTCTAATATTTATTAAGAAGGAGGCTAAATTCTCTACCTTTTAAATTTTAAAAACTTTAAAAATTATATTTAAGACTAGATTTCAATTAGAATATCTTAAAAGATAAATTAAAAGATATTAAAGCAGCTTTCTAAAGTTAATTCTTAAAGCTTTATAATCTCTTATAAAAAAAACAAAAGCTATTATATATAAGATTGCCTTATTAATAGCTAAGGTAAAAGATCTTTAAGAGATAAATAAGATACTAAGCTAGTACTAAAGAGTAAAAAAAACCAGATTATAAAAAAGAGAGGTTATAATAATAAAAAAAGAAAGATAAGTAATTAATTAAATAGATATTAATATGTAGGTAGTAGCTAAATTATTAAGAAGTAGTAGTTAAGAAAGGTTGGTGTAACTGGGTATTTAGTATTGTAATATCTATAGCAAGCCTGGCCATAATACAAAGACCTGTTAGGTAGTAATTGAGATATTTAAAGAAGAGTATAGTAAGTAGTTTTAATTAATTAAATAATTTATGGTATTTTTATTATACTTCTAGTTCTAGAGATTGGGATTTTTATTATATATACTTATTTGTTATGCAAGCTATATATATATGTTAGTTATTTTATATTATATTAATATATTTTAATTTTTCTATTAAAATTTAATTAAGATTTACTAGATATTATACTATATAACTTTAAATAAGTAATATACTTATAGAAAATATAACTGCTAATACTATAAATATATATTATAGATATTATAACTATATACTATAATACCTACCTGTAAAATTTAAAACTGCAGTTAAGATAACTATCCTCTACAGAGTTCCCCCCTTCTAACATCCGCATATTAATATATCGAGACTAGAGTAGTATAGTGCACACTATGCTAGAACCTCGCTGGCACCCAACTCCCCAGCCAGCTTTCATTAGACACCTCGTCCGACCGTGGCTCCAGGAGACCCATCACATCATTGTATAGTGAGTGAGATGAAGGGTCCTCGTTAGCAATCCCTAATCCGCAGTTGGCACTCGCGTTCCATGAATTATAGGTCCCAGCTGATTCTGTCTCTGGAGAAGGGACAGCAGGTTGGGCACAGTTGCTCGAGAGGTGAGTTGACAACATGCGGTAGCTCCGCGTAGCGCTATTTCCCGTCAGCTCTAGTGGTGTTTCCCCTGTATCCATGCAATCCTCTGGTGATAGTGCCAGACCTGGTCTGCAGTTTATCCGAGGCTCCGGGCTCGTGGTGTTTGAACGAGCACGGGCAGCGTTGTCCGTAACGCTACGTGCTTGGCGAACAAACTCAGTAGTTTTCGTAAAAGCAGCCTCCCCAGAAGTGACATATTCCAGGCGGCCAAAGAAGCCGACAATGACTTCCATTAGGGCAATATCGCTTTGTGTTGACTCATTAAACGGGTTGGATACCACATGAAGGAAAATGGTGGTAAGAGCCGTCAGAGGGTAATAGAACACGAGCCTTTAGTGGAGTTGGTCAGAAAAGATCTTGGATTGTATAGAACACCAAGGCTGAAGGAGGGAGATGAGAAGGGGTAGGAGAAAAGCGATTTGGAATAACTTATTGCCCGGGGATATGAACATACCAGCCAGGAGTGAAACTCTCTACATCAAGGTGCTTAGTCAGTAAGACCATAGACCTGGCTGCTTCGATGTGTTGTGTGTGTGTCTCGGGAGGAATGAAGTGCTGGGCGTTCTCCTCATCATGGATAAACAAGGGGGTAAACCGACGACAGACGGCGCACAAAACGTAGTAGTAGGAGGAGTGCAAGACGGCAAGCTGCATCCGCGATAGTCCTCGCGTGTTATGTCTCCATGTAAAGAGTTTGCCTGGTTGAATTTCCGTTGGGGTCATCCGTCGCCATGATTCTAAATCTTGCAATAGCTGATCCAGTATGCTCAAGAGCTGACTCGAGGACGAACAGAGCGCAGTTGCTGAATAGAGCCGATGCGATATAATGCCGCAGATACGGGAGAGCCTCGTGAAACACAATAAGAAGTCGAACGTCTGGCTCTTCTCCGCAAGGTCTAGGCTGGTTCCTGGGCTTCGGGCTATCTGCACGTCACGGGGAAAACAGCAGCTGATTTCATCATCCTGGATCATCGAGGGTCGACCACAACGCAAAGCGATTGTCTTGTCAAGACAGTATATTACCCAGAATACGCGGTTTCTCTCCCGTATTTCGCTTTCAGATAAATTCCACCCTGGCTGTGGATGGTTATTGAGCCCAATGCTTTGGGCTAGCCGACAAGCAATGGAAGAGAGCGTGTACTCAAGCCTTTGGGGACTAGAGAGCCCTTGAGCAAAGACGGTCATGACGGCCAGCGCCTGAACCGCCATCAGATCTGTCGCGCCGTGAATGATGTCGGTTTCGTAAGACAAGGCAATTTGAAAGTAGCGCCATGATTCACGGCCAGATTCTTTAAATGCCTCTGCCGTCTCCTCTGAGAGTGCCGCACGACAGCCAGATGCCAAAACTGCATTCAACAAGGCCTTCCACGAATGCAACTCGCCGTCCGGGTCAGTGCCGAGGATGGCTAGTTGGGCCTCAAATTTCTCTTGGTCCAGAACCGGGAAGATGGTTTGCACAGTCGAGAAGTAAGCCTCCACGTATCTCTTGACTCGTGACTGCGGAACATGCTTTAAGCTAGACGATACTGGAGGCGTCAAGAGCGGGCTTGGTGGTATCCATTTGGGCTGTCTCAGATGGTTGAGAAGGCCATTTCGAATATCTTGGACCGTCTTGCAAAGTTGGTCTGAATCGGGGACGATATCACGAATCCACTTCAAGCCCAGGTCTGAGATGGTGGAGATTCCGGATGAGGGCCCGGTGTACTCATCTCCATTTGTCGCTCGGATCCATACGGCCGGGTTTCTGTCTTTGAGACATTCGGCACCGTTGCCCTGGAGTATCCTGTCCAGAAGTGCACCCGAATAACCACCATCTGAGCTGGTCGGAGTTTGAAGGATGGCGCCAGGATCGTTCGGTGGCTGGGCAGACAGTCGTTGGATGGCCGCACCATTAACTCGGGGACAGGAGGGCATATTGCCGTTGGAAATAGGTTGGTGTCGGTCCTTATTCTCGCTCATCGATATCGGTGGCGGAGCTATATCCAGAGCTGTCGATACGTGGTAATGTTGCAAGTCGTCGCCATCTGCAAGCTGATGTCTAGAACTGGTAGAGAGTGACGGCCGGGCGCCACCGTCAGTACGACGTCGCGTTCGTCTCTCGCCAATGTACGTGCATTGGATGGATCGCAGCCTGCAGTTCTGACATACAGGCCGCGTTCCATCGCACTTTATTTTCCGATTGCGGCAGGTTTTGCATGCCATGTCCAGCGAGGCCGCGTCAGATCAAAAGAAGAAACGTGTCGTTTGCGGAAATTGTTACTCAAGCTTCGAGAAAAGGGCCAGACGCTATTGACCCCAGAATTTCCAGGCATGAGCTTCTGCTACAAGGGGGGGCCCTTCTTTCAGTCAGGGCTTGGGCTGGCCGCACTAGCAGCGCCTCGCTCTTTGGCGGACAGGTCCGAGTACATGGCTTCTCAAAAAGGTTGAGCAGCGTAATTACACTGATTTATTGTTAGCCGATCCACCCGAGTTTGCAAGCGTGTTTTCTTGTTGTTTCCCGCGAGAGGAGCCGGGGAAAAGCCTGGCATTCGTGTAGGACAGTCCACTTCTATTCCCTGCCGGTCCTTCCGGGTCGCCCATCACCACTTCGACTGGCCCTAAACACAGTAGTCTATTATCGCCAGCCATCCTTGGGATGGGCCTTCCGTCTGGCCTTCCCTTACTCCGTGGCTTTGCACTTGCATCCGTGCACGCCTGCATGACTTGCATGTTCGGAGGGGTCCATGCTTAAGACATCGCACTCCTTCGCGCGGTGAGCTCATGGAAGGAGAGTAACTTATGTCTTGCCATGCCGCTCGGGGTTTAGCACCGTAGCTCGGGTCCGTCCCCAGCGATTCGTGGTTCAGCAAGCCCGGCCCGCGTCATGGTCAGATGCCGGCCCAGCCGCATCGCATCACCACACTTCCAGTCCACTTTTGGATGACATGAACGGGTAACGGCATGACACTCACCTTCCGTACGGGGACATATGCTTGCGAACTTGAATTTCCGGAGTAATCTGCCGAAGTAGATGCATTGCATTGTAATGAGGATAGCCAACAGCGGGCTCTTAGTGTAGCAAAGGACCAATAAAGGATCTTAGGAGAGGTTGGAGAACGGGCGGAATATGTTGAGAAAAGGGGTACTAGTCTGGTTTGCTATAATATACTTTATAAGTGACTCATCACTGGTCCGTTTCAAGAAAATGCACTTTCAGATTCATATCTGCAAGTAGGAAATCACCACTTATAAATTGTGCCAGGTTTTGTACCAAGTCTAATTAATCTAGGTCTATAGTGCGGAAAGAAACACAGGACAAGATCATCCCAGTTCGTGGTATTGGATGTATCCATGCAACGAAATCATTCCTCAAACAGACAACCAGCAAATCCGCCGGACGCTACTAGGCATATACAGAGAACCCTGAAATTTCACATCCTCACGAGCTGACACCTCACTTCTCAAAAGTCGTGCTGATGGTGCGCTTGCCTGCAGCCCAAAGGTGCGCGTAATCCGTACCCAAATATCGTCCCTTCATGAACCAGATCAGGAAGCTAAAAAGCTTTATGGTACCCATCTGTCCCGTGGCGCGGCTTCGACCCAGCGTGATACCGAACATGGGCTTAGTGGAAGCCTGGTACTCGGGTAGCGCACTACCGTTGATGTACAGAGGCAAGTTCTTGATCAGCCAAATCGCCTGGGCGTCTGCGACCGCGGCCGTGCTCGGCTCCAGCGCTCCGACGTCGCCAATGACGAAGATGTTCTTGTGGCCTTCGGCCTGTAGGCGGGCCGTCTGCTTGATGTAGCCCTGGGCGTTGAGCAGGTTCTTGGGAGCAAACTCAGTGTTGGGGATGATACCAGTCGTGGGGAGATAGGCCTGTGCGGTGATAGTCCTAGTAGTACCATCGGCAGCTCGCAGCTCGAGGACCGTCCCGGTTCCATTAACGGTAGCGTTGGTAACGATCGTGTTTGGGATAAGCTTCACGTTAAGCTTCTCGAGCTCATTCTTAGTGGCCTGGCGAACGCTAGTAATAACAGGGTCGGAGAAGGGGAGGTTGTCAGTGTGGATGAGGATAACCTCCTTCTTGCCGTGTTGAGAATACTCGAATCCAAGCTCCCCTGCCGTCTCAGCACCAGTGAGTCCACCACCAGCAACGACAATAGTATTAGCGTTCTTGACCTGCTCCTGTAGACGGTGAAGCTTGTCCTTGGTCTGCTCGGTAGTAGCAAGAGCTTTCCAAGGCATATCATCCTTAGCACGAGCACCAGTAGCGATGATGAGAGTGTGGTAGTTGATCTCATGAGTACCACCAGTATTGAGCTTAACACTAACTGTGTTGGAAGCCGGGTCGAGAGACGCAGCCTTGCCCAGGATGAACTCGAACTTGCTGGGAGGGTAGTTGGCGAAAGTGGGAGCCAGAGGAATCGAGACCTTCTCATCGGGGATTTGGTCAGGGACGATAACACGAGGTATAGCGATGGGCCAGTAGAAGTCGGAGGTAGGGCTGACGAGAACCATCTTGAGGTTGTCCCGCTTGAGGATGTTGTTGACCATGGTCTGGCGGATAACGGGCATGGCAGCAGGGCCAGCGCCGAGGACGACGATGGTTTTAACGTCTGAAGCAGTCATGATGAACGCTCTAGTTGGCGGTGACTAATTGCAAGGCGGATGGTGTGTGCGTGAGTTGTTGAGTTGGTACTTGGAAGGTCCAAGGTGATTCAATTGACCCTATATCAATAGTCAAGTGTGTGTTGGTGAGAATTGAGAGTGAAACGAGTTAGGTCCAATGAACCAGCTTTTGCTCTTGTAAATGCAGGCTCGGACGGCTAAGACCAACCATGTACCCATGTCTAAGAGTCTAAGACCAACATACGTTCCGGCGCCGTGAAACCCCTTACCAGACCAATTTATCACCAGGCTTCAAAAGCACAAGCAACGCCTGCGCGCGCGATTCACGAACCATTCCCACCTACCATCCCCACCTGAGGAGCCTGGAGCATGAGAGATTGCCGCGCGGCGACTCGGGACCAAATTTGTGGCGTTGCGGGCGGCGTGGAGCCGAGTCACAGTCAAATCGGGCAGGCCGACCAATCGTCGTCGTTGACGCCCGCCTTCGAGATTTGGGCTGCAAGCGGCTTCTTCCCGTCACAGTTTAGTGGTCTTTCAGAGGTCTCTACAACGAGCCGTCTCTTTTGCTCCGAGGGTTGTTTCAAACCAACGCCAAAGAAGCATTTTAGGTAGCTTAGCATGTTCGGGTTAGTGCCAGGCTTTTTCATGGCTCGGGCTCGGGCTCGGGCTCGGGCTCGGTTTGAGATTTCTGCGTGTCCAGCGACTACAATGCAAACCGGAGCCTTGGAGGTTATTTGACTTGTTGACATCTGAAACTCAGGTGAAGAATCCTTCCATGACAAAAGATCTAACCAAAAGCGGTGCGAAACAGGTAAGAGTCAGACTCCTGTAGTCATTTGGCTCCACCTAAATCCCGTCTCGCTCTTGGATTGGCGAAAGAACAATAAACACGGCATCTTTACCCGGTAGGAAAAACCACAATACGAGAGAGTTCGGTTTTATAGGATTGAGTGAGGGGTTCATGCTGGCAAGTTTTAGCCAATAGGAAGAACCACAATACGAGAGGCTTTACCAGGGGAACCGCTGATAAACGAGACGGGGAATTCTCGTGACAAGGGGCAACTCGGCTCGGACTTGGACACCCCAAAGGCGCTCTCCTCGCCTTGATACTCGCCTACCAGTCGGATGCGGTCTTGGATATGCCGCAACTGTCCCGTCATGTCAGGGCATCTATATGCCAGAGGGAATTGAGAAAGCCAACAGTATAAAGGATTCCAGCCGGAAGTGATTACTCGTTAACCCGATCTAGCAATGTTAATTACGCTACAAACTTTTGTCCAATTCCCCCAAATAAACACTTCCATCATGCACAAGAACCTTATTCCTCTCGCGTTGCTAGGGACACTCACTAAAGCCGGTTTCCTTCCACTCCAGGAGAGGGCTACAGCATCTACTATATCGCGTGCAGTCCTCGCAGCAGCGCCTCCTGGCGAGGCAGGCCAGACTGGCAGCCCCACGGACTCCCAAATCCCCGGCATCCAGGACAGTTCCGCTGTCTCCCTTTACGACAGAGCGGAGTACGGCGGCCAGGTCCCTTTCAACGACTTTCCAGAGGACGTCGAACGACCGCCTAAACAGTGCGCCCTCTGTGAAGCCATGGGTCATGACCCCCAGATCACTTCAACGACTGCGATCTATGGACGGCCCAGCAACGGTCCGCCAATGCCGAAGCTATCAACGACAACGTCCCCGACAGGTAGCAGTTGTGTGTCGACAGCGACTGTGACAACGTGTCGCTATGTGGGCGTGGGTCACGGCTCTGTATGCGTCGAGAATCCAACGTGCTTGAGCTGGGTACCGATAAACTCTCCTCCACTGGACACGGGCTGCATAGCCCATGAGGATTGTGCCAACCATTGGTGCGTTTATGACAGTCATGTCGGATGTTTTAAACATAAGCTAGGGAATGCGGCTGGTAGGATGGAGGAGGAACGCACACCCGAGGAGGACCCAAGAGAGCTTCGATAGGGTAGACTGTTGCCTTCATATGCCTTCGTGTCTTGATCATAGGGTTTGGGTAGGAAAAGCGCAATAGAGGGCGGTCAGTTCGGCAGGTGCGGATTTCAGCGAAGCTCAACGGCAATTGCTATTGTCAGTGTCCGTAAACAATACAAGGTGGTAAACTTGGAGAGGACGGCTAATGACTTCACAAGACGGAAACCCTTCCGGCAGCTTTTGGTTTGATTACAGGCTGAGAGATAGGTCGGTGCTAGGGACTAAGGAGCAATTCTACGCAAGCCTACGGACCGCAATATAAGCCCAGCCAACGTAGGCCCCCCTTCTCCAAATTGTCAATATGTCAACACCAAACAGCGTCGATAACTATAGATAACCTTATTATCTTCTCTGTGCAATACGAGTATACTACTATATCTTTAATAGATAATTCAGTTTGCTAATAGCTATTAGCTCTCCCTTCTTCTGCGAGACTTGGTACGATGTCCCTGCCGATATGCCCGAGTGCCCCGAGAAAGGTTGCTACTACGCTTAGCTCTAGATCCCTGATGGCTGTAAGTGCTCCCAGTACTCCCATGCCTACATTGTGAATATGAGATACTAACGCCTCCAAAGGCGGCCAGCCCAACATGTACCTGCAAAACCACCGCTGCAAGGTCACGGGCAGCACGCCCACCAAGAATCTCGGCACTCCCAACCCCCCCGCCTGGTGCCGCCACGAGCCCAGCAAGTGCGTCGCTGGTCCCAAGCAGATGATGGCATGGAACCGTAAGTTCAAACGGAGATGATAGTTGGTCTTTGTCTAGAAACGAGAGGCTAATTGATAATGTGTAGAGCTAGAGGGTAACAACGTCGACGCTCCCCAGAGCAAGACGCCTACTTACAATCAGAACATGGGTTTCTTCGACGGCGCTCAGGACGATATTTTTGCTGACGAGTAAACCTTGACAACCGACGGGTAAATGCGATCCGGCAGGGGAATTGGATAGCACGGGGTGTTTTGTACTATAGTAGATTGCGTCTTTCTGGAAGGATTAGCAGTCATCTTCTTTTCTAAGTCTTGAGTGTGGTTTTCAATTTACAACCGATGCTCATACATGCTGTGCTTGCCATAAAATCCTGTGGAAGCAATGTGACTTGATTGCGCACCTTTTTCACTGGCGGTGTACGCCTGGCTGGGGGCTTATACCACTGCCTTGATGATTCTTTAACTCGATGAAATGCAAAGTCCGTTCGGGCAATTGTTATTATATGAATACCAGGTTTCCTATAAGCACAAGGGCGACAAAACTTGCCGGAGACATTTCATAGATCAGACTAAGATAATGTGATGGCAATAGAGACGCATTTTCTTATTAAGTCAATCTATATCTTTAAGCCCAAGCCAACTTCACTCCATCCAAATTCTTGAATTGCCCAGCCCATCAGGGGCCACCAATCTCTAGGCAAGAACGCCATGATCGCAGTGAACTCCCGCTCCGGCACTCCATCTACCCACCAGAGCGGACGAGCAATCTTCAACAGCATGAAAAAATATCCAACGATGGCTAAAGTCCTCGGATCCTTAGCTTCTAGTAAATCAATAAATCTAGACGAGACGACGGCCGGGAATCGAAGGATATTCGTATACTGCGGACTGTAATAAATATAGGAAAGATTAGCCACAGCAAGGGTATACGCGGACATGGCTTCCTGATCGAGTAGCCCTTCGGTGTGTAGATCATCAAGCAAGAAATTAAACTTGTCGAGGTTTCTTCCTTGTGATATGAGTTGCTGCGTTGTCGATAGCCCTTCGAGCCTATGGCCAATGTTCCCAGTATCCAAGACCCATGGCCACGCCACGAAGAAGACAGCACGGGCAAATTGGAATGGGCGGAACCAATGCAGAGGCAGCTGATGCTCAGCCTCAGCACTCAGGTATATTTGGTTCACGCTTCCGTGAAACAGGAGGATAGCGCAGGCCGCGATAATAGGTGCCGCATTACTCTCATTAATGCCGCTATGCAACTGTTCTGTATGGGAGCGTATAGCTCGCGCCATATACTTATACGAGGCCTCGCGAACGGCCCGATCGAAGTCGTTGGACCGTCGAATATGGAAGGCCGAGAAGCCAAGAACAGCATCCATGACACTGGGTGTTCTCAATGCTACCTCGACGATCCAAGTGGACCAGATGTTCTGGGCTTGTGATAACTCAGTGGCCATGGTGTGGAAGTGATGGAAGAGCCGGAGCTCGAGGAGACGATCTGCAGGCGTTCCAACCGTGACAGGCACAAGGCTGTAGGAGGTGTAGGAGGTGTAGGAGGCGTAGGAGGCGTAGGAGTTGTGGGAGGTGATGGATGAAGCACTTGTTGGTGCTGGCGCTGGCGGTTCTGGCTCATGCTGGTGTGTTGGAGCTGGAGCTGTGAGGGAAACGTCTCTAGGAGCGTAGCGTCGAAGTGGGACGATTCTCACGCGCCCCCTGGGATGGTTGTTGGAAGGATAGGCGGTGTTGAAGTAATCGCACAAGATACCCAATCTGTAGCAATTCCCACATGCCGGTCGGCTCTCGTCGCACTGATGCCAGTCTGAGTCAGTATGCTGCTTAATAAAGTTGCTCTACACTCCCTAAGGCGGCAGGACGGAGTCGACGGACCTTCACCCGCCTCGTTTTACAACGCCGGCACCCTTGTCGGGACTTGCGATGTGGCCGCCGCAATGGGCCGGCACTTTCGGCGCTTGGCGCGGCATTGGAGACGGCAGTCTCGGGAGTGCATGCCGCGACTGAGGAATGGCCTAGGGTCATGTATGCGACGAACAAGGGAGGTGAGGGTCTTGGCGCACGATGAAGCCATCACTGATGAGCAGATTCTCTTCCACACGCAGCCTTATTTACGCATGCTCGGAGTTGCGGAGTTCGATGGAGTGATGTATCGCAAGTGGAGCTTGTTGACGACGACAATGGTGGCTTGGCTTTGTGAGGACCCAGGCTGGCCCCCTGAGCTTACGCTTTGTCCAATTAAATCGTCTTAAATGCGAGCTTGTACCTAAAATACACCAAGTAGGAAATTACCAAAAAAAGGTGAGGATCCGCATCAAGAAACTGGGCCTTGATTTGTTTGGTTCCCCCCATATCTGCGTCCACCCCCGATTATCCCGTGGCGGTTCTTAGCTCTGCCAACAGGCAATGCAAGTGACTCCATCTCTTGAACGACATATTCCGACCCTCCATGTGCGTGCATCAACCAGAAATAATCCGACCCCACCTCGCATCAGGTCGCGTAATAAAGCTCACCTTCTTTGAGGCGGGTTGGAGATTGCCATCCGTGATGGAACCTAGTGGCTAATGCCATAGGCGCCCAGTGGCATCTCAGAGTCTGAGTAATTCGGACGATCCCTGCCTGGGATACTGAGGACCTCAGATGGATGAAAAATGTTGAAAATCACAACCACAATAGCCATCAACAAAGCGTCAAAAATATAAATATAGACCTCCTTAGATTGGATTTCGCCATCGTGGCCTGTGACATACTCAACCACTCGGAACACGGACCGTACCAGGATGAGGAGACTCGATGCATACAGCACTAGAAGAAGCTTGTCCCAGGGAGAGTTGATGCTAGAGCTCTTTGCTGTGGGCTTTTTGTTGATTCGGTAGTGGAAGACGCAGGTGACAGCCATGAACAGGCTAAAAAACACAATTTGTATGGCAAGCCCGATGATGATTATCGTTTGTGCCTGGTCTCTCTCGTCTGGGGTCTCTGCGTTTGCGAGCTTTCCGCCACCTTTATAGTCATTAGTTATTATTCTTCCTGAAATCGGATTACTGTCTCTGCGTTATTGTCGGTCACTCACCTAACCCCTGTGCTGCAATAGATATAACATCTCCAATAAGGAAGAACTTCGTTAACCGGCCTGGCCTGATCAATGAGTACTTCTCTGCATTCAGAAGTTGGATCAATCGCCCCAGAATCATATAAATCGACGCGGCGAAGAAAGTCGGTCCAAGGAGTAATAGCAGAACCTGGGTGATATACGGTGACCGAGTCCAGTCAGGAGTTTGTGCCGCGCTGATTGCTCTTCCTATATACCCGATTGCTTCAACTGTATGAGTCTCTATTAGCTACGATCCATCCTAAAAAAGATCTGGCTTCCTGTCCTCGGCAACCATCTTGGATAGGGAACCATACAAAGACAGCCAACAAGGAATGGCACAAAGTACCATGTCTTTGACTTTACCAGCTGAAAGGCGTGGACCGCCGCTGATAGTATGAAGAGTATGGTAAAGATGATAGCGGCGGGGAGGGATGGGTCGTAACGATAGTATTCTCTTGCCATTTCGTGTTGGTTTAGAGATCGGAGATTTTATGTATGAGTTCGCGAGCGTGACGTGGTTTGGAAGTTAGGCAGCCGAGGAAGTGCTTCCGGCAGAGCGTTTCTTGTGCGAATGATTGAATGCACAACAAGAGGGAGGTTCTTGTCAGTTGTTCAGCTGGATGGAGGTTTTTGTCTGAGAGACGAATAACGGGGAGAGAGGTGGTACTTAAATACCGTCTGCATCTTGTGCAAATTGAACATGCCAACGACATCTGGTCTCTAATTCTCTGCATTTGACAACACAGAGGCTTAGCACATTGATTTAGCACCGCCCCTTTGCGTGGGCGATGAATGATACTGCACGGGGTATGGGTAAGACAACTACGACGGCGAGTTTGTATGAAGTATATTCGTACCTACAATAGATACTCCAGGAGACTACAGATCCGCTACTTTGTGAGGCAGTGTAGCAATCGTCATTCATGATTGCATGTCAGCTGGTTTAATTGCGGCGGGTCTGAAGATTCGATAATGGGACGACGGGGAGATTATGTGCGTCTTAAACTGGGCTGTCGCGTTGCTCGCATTTAAAGACTGTTAATTGGTTAATCTCACTAGTTGTGCGTTTAGATGTTTAATATTTCCCGGATATTAATAGTATCCCACATGAACAAATGCCACACCTCTTTATCTGTGGACCTTATATCTCAACATTTAATAAGACACAGCATCTTTACCCAATAGGAAGAACTATAATACGAGAGAGTTTATGTAGGATTCAGTGAGTGATTCATGCTAACAAGTTTTTCCCCAATAGAAAGAGCTCTAAGACGAGCGAGTTCGGTTTCATAGGGCTTTATGCAAGCAAGTTTTACCCAATAGGAAGGGCTATAATACGAGCGAGTCGGTTGCGTCGGGATACAGCATACTTGTGAATGTAAGCCCTAAGCATGGCGGCCACATCAATATAAAGTCCCAGGAAGGAAGGACAATCTGCAACATACTAACAACCACTCTCACCATACTCTCCTAGAATCTTCTACATACCTTTTGTTTGTTGTCGCAACTGCCAAATCCACGATGGGCTTATACACCAAGCTCGCTGAAGAAATCCAGGAGGTGGATGTGATTATTGCTGGAGGTAAGCACGAACTCGATCAATTGGCCTCAAGGTAGTTGCTCAAATTGGATCCTAGGTGGGACAGCGGCATGTGTCATAGCAGGAAGGCTAGCCGAAGCCGATCCCAGCCTGTCCATTTTGGTCATCGAGGGAGGCCAGAACAACTATAACGTGCCCAGCGTCACCCACCCAGCGTTCTACCTGAAGCATCTTTTGCCGACCAGCAAGACAGCCATCTTCTACAAGGGCAACAAGGCGAAACAACTTGCCGATCGTGAGGCCATCGTTGCGTCCGGAGGGACCCTAGGCGGCGGATCATCCATCAATTTCATGATGTACACCCGCCCACAACGGTCCGATTTCGACTCGTGGAAGACTCCTGGCTGGTCCACAGAGGACCTCTGGCCATATTTGAAGAAGGTGTGCCCAGTGAATTCGCGTTAAATACATGAACTTAGGTTGGCTGACATTCTCAAAGCTCGAAACGTACCACGGGAAGGGCGAAAAAGATCATCACGGCTATAACGGGCCCATTCATGTGTCTGATGGCACATTCCGCGCCTCTACCTCCGAAGACGACTTCATTGAGGCTGCGTCAAAGGTCGGCTGGCCAGAGATCACAGACCTACAGTCTTTGGATACCAACAATGGTGTTGACCGCTGGCTACGCTACGTCTCGACCGATGGCAAGCGACAAGATACAGCGCACGCTTACCTCCACCCAAAGCTTCAGGACGGCAAGCATCCCAATCTACATGTCTTAGTCGAATCCAAGGTCTTGCGTGTTCTATTCGACGAGAACAAGCGCGCAATTGGCGTCGAATACACACCAAATCCTGACTTCCAGGCTGTCACCAGCCCGACGCACCCAAAGTTCACCGTTATGGCGAGGAGACTGGTAGTTGTATCCTGTGGCGCTTGTGGTACGCCATCAGTTCTGGAGAGATCTGGTCTTGGCGACCCAGAGGTGTTAAAGCGCGCAGGGGTCCCAGTTGTGGTAGATTTACCTGGTGTTGGTCACGAATACCAAGACCATAACGCGGCAATCTTTCCCTACAAGACGAACCTTGAGCCACATGAGACACTAGATGAGATTCTCAGTGGTCGCGCGGATGTGGCTAGCCTCATTGAGAGGAACGACAAGATCTTGGGCTGGAATGCCGTCGACGTCGCAGCCAAACTTCGGCCGATGGAGGCTGATATCACCGCTCTTGGCCCTGAGTTCGGAGCCGCCTGGGACCGAGACTTCAAGCACAATCTTGACAAGCCTCTGATGCTTATGGGACTGATATCATTGTAAGATCTCATGAGCGTTAACTATCAATCCTTGCCCCAACGCTAATAGTAACAGCTTCCTCGGTGATCAATCAGCTATCCCAGCTGGGCAGTATGCCACAGTGGTTAATATCACGGCGTATCCATACTCACGTGGATATATACATATTACGGGGCCTGAATTGAATGATCCGCTAGACTTCGATGTCGGATTCTTTACAGATGCTCATGACATTGACCTGAAGAAGCAGATTTGGGCATATAAGAAGCAGCGAGAGATTATGCGGCGTACAGCTATGTATCGTGGTGAGCTAGCGCTAGGGCACCCACGCTTCCCTGATGGTTCTGCAGCAGCATGCATCGAGACGGACACCCAGCTCAGCGATGTTCAAGATGTCCAATACTCATTCGAAGATGATAAAGCTATCGAGCAATGGCTGCGCGAAAGAATTAGCACCACATGGCATTCGCTCGGCACGGCAAAGATGAGGCCTCGCGAGAACTTTGGCGTCGTAGATGATCAGCTGAATGTGTACGGTACTGATGGGCTGAAGGTTGCCGACTTGAGTATCCCACCTACGAACATGGGCGCCAATACACAGAATGCAAGCTTGGTAATCGGCGAAAAGGCTGCGGATATCATTATTCAGGAGCTAGGGCTGAAGCAGTAGGTAGATAGCTGAGTTAGCATACAAGCGGATGACCTCTAAGATTAAACGAAATCTCCTGGCTTGAGCAAGTAGATACATGTTATAGGGTAGACGGCTCGCAGTATCTCAACAACTGGCGCCTGGAGAAGTCTGAAAGTTGGCAATACTAGCTCGGATTTTGCGATGACATCAACAAATTTCTTACTATAGAAACAGTCTTTGTCGTGGCACCGCATTAAATTTCATCGTTAATCCGGTTTTGTGACGACCGGGGGATTGGGGCACCGAGGGGTCATGTGGCATCATCAAAGTCATGGCTTTATCAGCTTCAAATATCGGAGGTTCCATTTCCACAAAGCTCAAATATGCGAGTGCTCATGTCCGAATGCAACCATGGTATTCACACTTGATTTCCTCCAAACCCTCTCTTGTAAAGCGCCGTTCCTTCCACACGAGGCATCCAACTTGGTGCTTCCTCCAAATAGGTGTGGGCCATAGGCGGGATAGGGATCGAAAAGATGGCGGTGCGCACGACTATATATTGAATTCAGTGATAATTATCCATGTCACTCTTCACTGCGATGTCGATCCACTTACTGCACAGTGAGTCGTCAAGTGCTTTTGTATATGCTGTAATAGGACTGGAAGAGGCGTTAGTGATGGAGGTATTTAGTCGAGTAGTGACGATGTGGGATTATCACCTTCCGCAAACTCCACAAAACCGGCGCTCGAGAACATTTCCAGACTCACAGCTATTATCCAAATACGTAGTGAGTTGTCCTTCCACCGATAACGCCTCTCTTGGTACGATCATGAAGTTTGATCCAACTAGTGACAATTCAGTTTGATATACTATTCAAGGAACCATCGCCGAGACAAGTCGGGGCGTACTAGAACCACTCGATTTCTTGCAGTTAATGCAGTGACAAAGAATGGAACTCAACTGTTGGCCGTCAGGGAATCGAAATATCGCCGTGACTGCGCCGCAGTTGCATTCTCCCTTCATTTCCATTGTGTCCGGTATTTCGCTTTGTCGTGAGTCAATGCGTCCAAGGTTAGGGGATAGAAGCTGCAAAGTAATGATGTTATCACAATAGTGGCACAACGTCGGCAGAGCCAAGTGGATTTGAATTGAACCTACATAAGCTACCTTGCGACTGTTCCCACGGCTGCTTTTATGTTCGCTTGTTATTATGTTGAATACACGGTGTACCGGGCGTGATTCTCCGGTCATTTATCCGGAATGAGCCCACGTCGGCATTTGTGAGGAGGCCAATCTCTCAGGGCGTAACCTATCTGAGCTAATCAGTAATACACAACGATGCCTTTCGTTCCAGTTACGCGGAGAGCGGCAATCCCGGCAAGAGAAAAACTGCAAACCATTCACGGGAAGCCGGGTTATTCCGCATTGCAGAAAATGGTCACGATCCTGCGTGCCGGGCATCCGGGCGCCCTAACCGTCCAAGTGCGTTAACTCCTCTACCCCTTGCAGACAGAGGAGTCTTCTGAAACAGTCATTCCGAGGTCAAAACTTTCTACAAGGATCATCATAGATATTCAAGTTCAGCATGCAGTCCTCCGAGTCAGGAAACGAGGACTTGCGTGGAGTCCTGGTCAGGACGCGCGTCGTCAGCCACAACCAATATCATCCCTTCTCCAATTGACTGCTGAGATGCTAAACAAAGCCTTAAATTTTGTAAGTTTCAGGGAGCGCCTCCCTTACAGAAAAATAAGGCGGCCGGAAGTCGGTATAACAACGATATAGTAGTTTGCACGGGCTCGGTTCCACGTTCTCAGCCTCGGCGCTTTATTGTCGTCAGTATAGTATCTTCCCCAGTGTATCTATGTAAAGGTATAATAATTAACTGAATCTTAACTTTAAGGTGCTGGACTAATTAATATATATAAGCTGGCAGTGCTTTTACCTCTAATACTATTATCTCTAAGAACTTTTTTAAGGTTATTAAGAGTATATTTTATAGCTATAAATTCTCTTAAGATATTTTAGAGTTTATATTAACTTTATATATATATAGCTATTAATATTAATATAAGAACTCTTAAATTTTATAATATTACTTATAGCTTTAATAAAAATAACTATTACTTTTTTAATAGACATTATAGCTTTAATTTATATATTAAATTTAATATATAAATAAAGAAAATTACTATTAAAAATAATAAATTTAATAGTAAAAAATAAATAAATTAATAAAATTAAAATAAAAAATAAAAAAAAGAATTTCTATTTTTTTATTAATAAAATTAGAAAAAATCACTTTTTTAATAATAAAATATAATAATATATAATATATAGCTAATTCTTTTTTAAAAAAAAAAGTAAAAGTAATATATAATAAAATAATAAATAATAAAAAAGTACATAATAAAATAAAAAATAGTAAAAATAATATATAATAAGAAATAAGTTAATATATATTAAAAAAATATATAAAAAAGTAAAATAAAATAAAAATAAAAATAAATATATTTAAATAAAAATAAAAATAAAAATTTAATATAATAAAAATAAAAAATTATTAATAAATATATATAATAGTTATATTTTAAATTTGCTATATATATAATATAAAATAAATAAAAGACTAGTTATTAGTAAATAAATTATAAGTTTATATTAATAGATAAATTAAAATATTACTTATTAAATAAATATTATATTTAATAATAATTAAGTATAACGTATTTGATATGCGAGTGAGACAGACAAGCAAGTGAGACAGTAAACTGTACAGCTAAAAATTATAAACCTTAAATTTCTAAAAACTGTTATAAAATAGCTAGAAGCTAAAAAAGGAAATTTCTATAAGTATAAGTAAAAAAGTCATAAAGATATAATTTTTCTAGAATTTTAAAAAAATCTTTAAATTAATAAAAAATAAAAAACTAAAAAAAGTACAGTGTGAATAAGAAATTCTGAAATAAATTATTAATTCTTTTTTTAAAAAATCTGGATAAATTATTATAAGAATTTTGACTTTTTAATATATCTTATTTCTTATTTCTAGCTTATATAGATTTTAATCTAATTTTCTAGAAATTTTTAAAGTAATTTTAAATTTAGGTGGAATTTATACTATAAGGGATTTTTGTCTCACTTGCTTGTCTGTCTCACTCGCATATCAAACACGTTAATAATATATAATAAGTTAAAATAATTAAAATAACTAAATTATATTAATAGTAAAATAGCTATTTATTAGAAAATATATACTACTTAATTATTTATATAGTTATAATATAATAATAAATTATAAAAATTATTTAATAATTATAATAATTCTTAATTTTTTAAATTACTTAAATTACTTAAATTATTTAATAATTTAAGTAATTTAATTATACTTAATAAAAAAAAGTAAGTATATTATTAATATATATAATAAAATTAAAGCTTAATTTAATATAAGTTATAATAATATATAATAATAAAATATAAAAAATAAAATAAATATATTATAATAAATATATTAAAAATAAAAAATTATAATAAAAAATAAAATAATAAAATAATAAAAAATAAATTACTAGTAAATTATAAAATTAAAATAATAAATTTTTTTATTTTTTTAAAAAAAAACTTTTTTTAAATAATTTTATAAAATATAATTAAAAATTTTAAATTTAAATATAAAACTTTAATTAAAAATTTTCAAAATTAATTAATTAAAAAAAAACTTTAATTAAAAATTATTTTTATTTAATTTTAAATTTAATTTTTAAAATTAAATAAATATTTATTTTTTTATTTTTAAATTATAAATAATAAAATATTATATTTTAATATAAAAATTAAATTTTATTATTAAGTAAGAAAGTAAGCAGAGAACACTAAGAACACACAACCCATCCAGAGGCAGAGCTATAATAACTGCAATAGTATTGTGTCGGAAAGGTCAGAAAGGGTCAGGTTTAGGGTCCGGATAAATCGGACAGCCGGGCAAAATAGATAGCTTTTTCAGCTGATACCGTTTGATCAAATAGACCTTGGATAGGTCACCAAAGGATAGGTCAAAAGACTGTCAATTGAAAAAAAAATGATGAGATGTTAGAAGGATGATGCTTGTGTTCTCTCTGGAAGGTCCTGTCCGAGACCTTCCCAATTTATGGCCCCAGTAGGTCTGGCTACCGGTCCTACTCGATGCAGCACTTCCTGTTGAAGGAACCCACCAATCCTAGCCCTAGCGGCTGCAAGCATCCGATCAGATGACCTTTATCCCCAAAGACCGGAAAGCCCCGACTCATTATTTTTTTTAAAAAGGTTTTAAGAATTTAAATTAATTAGATTTTATAATTAAATTTTTAAATAGTTATTATAAAAGTTTAATTAAATTAAATTAAAAATTAATTATATTATAAAGAAGTTATAATAAGTATAT